CCGCGACGCTCCTCTGAGCAACCGTCACCCAAACAGTCACAGCAAATGAGTCTTTTTTTTTTTCTTTCTAATCCCTGCTGTGCTATTCCATGCTCTGCTCGATAAGTAGTTTTCCTCGGCCCTCAGGGCCCTGGCAGGGTCATGTCCTGCTCCCTCGTGGGGGGCGGGCTCCCGGGACGCCCTGGCCAATGGGAGGCGAGTGGTGCTCCCTCTCCAGGGCACCCAGCAGCCCGGAGGCACCTAGAGACTGGGCAGGGGGTGAACCGCTGAGAATTCGGGATGACGCGTCCCGGCTGATCCTCGCTGACACCCCCTCCGTCGGAAAAGGTGAAGGGGGCCCCCTCCCAGCACCGGGCGTTAGAACTCGGACCTGCCCTTTGGGGGGGACCCCATCATCCCACAACCCCACCATCCCGCTGCGGGTCCATCCAGCAACTCCCCTCGAATTGCACGTGGGAGGCCATGTGACGAAAGACGAGGCACCAAAGTTGTGTCCAAATCGGAGTCGGGGCGGCCCGTGCCCGTGCCCGCCGCTCGCCCGCCCCATCCCGCCCTCCGTCCTCTGTCCAGACTGAAACATCACGCGTCCCTGTGGGGGCGCAGCCCGAAGTCCTGACACTGGCCAGCCTCACTGTGACAGCCGTCAGCGGAGCGGCCAGCGCCTCTGTCCGCTTGAGTGACAGCCCAGGAGGTCAGCTCAGGGCCCAGGACGAGGCAGCATCGCTTCACAGACGGGCAGCCCCCGGCCTTCCGCCTGGACCCACACCCCACATGGCCCGGAGGTGCTGGGGCCCGGCCCCGCCAGCTCTTCCCAGATCCCCTCGGACGGCATCCACCTGTGAACCAGGGGTCAGGGTTCGATTCCCCGTCAGGACACAGGCCCAGTGGGGGGCGTGCAGGAGGCAGCCGGTCCATGATTCTCTCTATCATTGGTGTTTCTATCTCTCTCCCTTCCTCTCTGAAATCAATGAAAAAATAATAATATGTATATCTTTTAATCCTCATCCAAGGGTGTTTTTTCATTGATTTTTAGGGAGAGAGGAAGAGAGAGGGAAAGACAGAGAGGAACATCAATGTGTGAGAAACACATCAATTCCTTGCCTCCTGCACGTGCACCGACCAGGGTCCCAGGCATGTGACCTGGACCAGAATCAAACCCGGGACCCTTTGGTCCACAGGCTGACCCTCTATCCATGAGCCAAACCGGCCAGGGCAAAATATATATATATATAAAGTCATTATATATATATCTATGATTTTGTATGTATCCAATTGTGCTTTTAAAAAGATACTTGTGTGTATATATATATAGACACGTTGCTGTGTATATATACAAACTCACATTGAAAACAGCACCTTCCTGAATGTTCCGTGGCAGAGAGCACCTCCCGGCGGGGGCCAGGGCGGCCCCCTGACCCCCAGCACCGGCTGCATTTCCGCCCAGCATTTTTAGGGAGAGAGGAAGAGAGAGGGAAAGACAGAGAGGAACATCAATGTGTGAGAAACACATCAATTCCTTGCCTCCTGCACGTGCACCGACCAGGGTCCCAGGCATGTGACCTGGACCAGAATCAAACCCGGGACCCTTTGGTCCACAGGCTGACCCTCTATCCATGAGCCAAACCGGCCAGGGCAAAATATATATATATATAAAGTCATTATATATATATATCTATGATTTTGTATGTATCCAATTGTGCTTTTAAAAAGATACTTGTGTGTATATATATATAGACACGTTGCTGTGTATATATACAAACTCACATTGAAAACAGCACCTTCCTGAATGTTCCGTGGCAGAGAGCACCTCCCGGCGGGGGCCAGGGCGGCCCCCTGACCCCCAGCACCGGCTGCATTTCCGCCCAGC